TTAGGATGTATCCGGTCTATAAATGGGGGCTCTGGATGGACAGTTGGACAAATGGCTGGAGTTGGCCCATTCTTCTCTTAGATTTCCCCACTAGTACGAGCCATATTTTTGGGGAACACCAGAAAATTCATCCCGAGCACACACGTTACCATTGTTAATTAAAATCTGCGCACCTTTTTAGATTGTGATCGTGTCTTCATTCGCTGCAATACCCCGGCATGCATACCTTTAAAAAAAAAAAAAAAAGTGCTGCTTTTGCAACAAAATGATTGAAAGGCGACTCTCCCACACGTTATCAGCGAGAAATTATGCAACACAACGGCCTTCCAACGGCAACAGTCCAATGGCCAACGAGCACACGTATTGGCCACAATTCAGCATTATCACAAAAGAAACAACAAACCTCCTGCAATCGGCGTACCAACCAACCAGAGCTTTATGGTTGCTACTGAGTTAAATGGCCACAACGCATGATACAATCGCTAAAAAAACAAACTAGAAGACCGAACAATCATATTGTTACATGTGCGCATCAGAGGAATTGTAGAATGATGTTAATTTGTGACGGTGACAAGACCCCCCTCCTCAATACAGTCCACATAGAGTACTAGGACCCCCTTCTATCATAATAAGAAGACATTATTATTACCTCCTCCTCACTGGACTCACACTCTCCAGCCTCACATCCACCATCAGGAGCATTCTGCTACTAGAAAAGCTCCTCCCTGTCCTCTTACATGGGCTACAACAAAATGGCTGCACACCTCGCTGCAGTTAGAACAAAGTAGATAAAGCGATGCCAATGTTCGATCCTTTAACAGATATTGCTATCCTATTTAAAATACCTCAACCCAATGATAGTCAAAATCAGGTTTAAGTTCAAAACATCAAGTAAACAAACTAAAATATTTGCACTCTAACAAAATGACCGCTGAGGACATTTCTTTATTTCACATGGCAGATGGTCGACCTCTAGGGGCTCCACACTGGAATAAATGACTCTTTGTCCACTCTTCAGATTATCCAGTCACTGTGCTAAGCGTCACTATATAATAATAATAGTACAGTCATATAAAGCTAATTGAAAAATGACATTAAGAACTGTACTCAGTACAGGAGGATGCCATTTTGTTGTAGCTTATAGCTGGATCAGGGGAGGAATAATAATGATAACAACAACAGCACATTCATATATAAACCATATTGATCATGATAATGAGAACTGTCCTCAGTACAGGAGGCTGCCATTTTGTTGTAGCTCAATGCTGGATCAGGGGAGGAATAATAATGATAACAACAATAGCACATTCACATAAACCATATTGATCATGACAATGAGAACTGTCCTCAGAACAGGAGGCTGCCATTTTGTTGTAGCTCATTGCTGGATCAGGGGAGGAATAATAACAACAATAGCACAGCCATAACAATGCGAACTGTCCTCAGTACAGGAGGCTGCCATTTTGTTGTAGCTCATTGCTGGATCAGGGGAGGAGCTGTGGAATAGTCTTTTTGCTGTGGCTGTTGGGGACTGGATGCAAGGGGAGAGGGAGGTAGTATTGTCTTCTTACTCTAAAGGTTGCATACACATGGCATGAGTCCATGACACATTCTACACTGCTTGTTGATGGCCAACATCTTGCTTGATCTTGGCAGTGATGCTCTGCTTGGGCTGATTGTCTCTACGATGTAGCCCATATTTAGGTAAAACACATTAGGGCAGGAGGTCCCAGGCAGAGCTTCATTTGCACTTGTTTGATACAATAAACCAATACATATATTGAGAGAAGTCGGTTGGATACATGTTGGACTCATAGTGAAGCTGAAACAAGCTCCCTCCGGAGAGCACTATTTTTCGGAAAGTCAAACCCCTCCTCTTATAGTAATATGTCTATATGTCTATATATGAGGAATATGACCATTTATGGCTCTTGTGATGAAAGAGCAACTTTTTGACTTACTTTTGGATACAACAGAGAAGGGTTAGAACACTTTTTGTTGGTGTCTCCATCAGGGAGAACTCCACTCAATTTTCTGTCTCATTGACTGGACAGGAAGTGAGGTAAAATGTATCTAATGGGGACCAGACAGCTGCAAAAACCTAACAGACGTTCTTACCCGTCCACTACACTATCCAGGTATTGAAAATAAAGTTTTGGCTAGATGTCCACATTAGTTGTCCTTGTCTCAGAGGGCTGGTCGTTTCAAATGGAACCTGTACTTTGCCCATGTGGTAAAGTAATACAGTGACTTCAATTGCATCTTCACAAGGAGTACATTATCGCTTTTTCTACGCTCCATCGTTGCCCCATTTAGCCACAGGGAGTATGATAAAAAAAATACTATCTCCAGGTATGGAAAGCACGTGGCTCACCCCCTTTCCTCCCATGTGATAGTGAAGGAGCTTGCCAATTGGTAGTTCAGGCGCCCAGCACTGTCACATGGGGGCGGGGTGAGCTCCAAGTTGTTATCTTGGCTTCATCATCAGCAAACAATAGATGTCAACTTCAATGTTCCACCTTCCTAACTCAGGGCTCCTCCATTCATGGACCATCGTTGACATTGGTTTTGACCCCATACAAGGCCAGGTTGTGTTGAAATGACCACTTGTTTTTCAGAAGTACGGGTTCAGAAACAAGTAGGAGAACAATCACTAGGGTCGCATGGCTGTAAGAAAAATTCTGGGGGAATGTCGTAGTCATTGATTGTACTTCAAATGTAGGCTAGTTATCACTGATTGGCTGTGTGAGATATCACTGATTGGCTGTGTGAGATATCACTGATTGGCTGTATGCATTCAAAGGTCATCTTTGGCCTCCTGCCACATCCACGAGAACCAGAACCCATTCTCTAATCATGGCTGATCCTGAGAGATTGGACGAGGAACAAAGGGCGGTGGCTGAGACGATATTAGGCCTCACCCTGGAGATCATCTACCTGCTGACTGGAGAGGTGAGGAGGATTCTGGGAGGGTCACATGACCTCACCCTGACTAGAGAGAGGAGGATTCTGGGATTGGCACAGGACATCATTGTTCCCTGTTTCCCGATTAAAATGGAACTAAATATACATATTACATACATTTTCCTGAAACCATCACAGTTCCCCTTTAAGTGGTCTTTTCCCCGCAGGATCATATTTGTATCTCTTCATATTCAGGGTCACACAGTAGTGAAGAATGTCTTTCATAATCATGGAACAACCAGCAGCCACCCCAAAGTATCGGGAGAATGGATTTGGAGCCAGAGCCCCATTATGGAGCCTCCACCTTCCTCTCTAATATCAGAGAAAAACAACTACAAGAAGATCCTAGAAGTCACCCAGAAGATGATTGAGCTGCTGACAGGAGAGGTGAGCGGTGCCGGGAATTCTGGGACATGATCCAGGAACAGACAAGGGATGTGTCTGGGTGGTGACTGTATCATTGTGTGTGTCAGGTTCCTATAAGGTGTCAGGATGTCTCTGTCTATTTCTCCATGGAGGAGTGGGAGTATCTAGAAGGACACCGGGATCTCTACAAGGACGTCATGATGGAGAACCGGCCGCCCCTCACATCACCGGGTAAGAGGAGACTTTCATTTCTTGAGTATTGAGGATCCCCCTAGATACACATCCTCTGATATAAAGACATAGAAACAATGTATTCAGTCAGTGTGTGTGTTTCCTACAGATGGATCCAGGAACAGAAATACCCCAGAGAGATGTCCCCGTCCTCCTAGTAATAGATAAACAATGTCTCCAGCGGAGAGTCCCTCATCTTCTATTAGACGTCTACTTACTCCATTTCATTATGCCCATACTCATAGGTACATTTCTCAAACAAATCAGCACAGGGGGCTTAACTCTTGTTATTTATAACCCCGGAGACACCAGAGCCACTCAGAGAGATGTCAAAGCTGAGGAGGAGGAAGATGAAGAAGTATATGTGAAGGATAAAGAGGAGGAACGTTCTCCAGAGATCAGCACAGGTGAGGAATAAACACTAAATCCAGAAAAGAGTCCCAGATTCTCCTTGTTCAGTCACTACAACAATCTCTTCTTCTCCCCCCTCCTCTGTCAGTAGACAGTAATGGGGGACAGCATGTGCCCAGTGAAGGAGTAAGAGTCCCATCCTGCTTGTTCAGACTGGGTCATAGTTAGTTTCAATCAGAGAAAAGCATTCTGAGGGCATGACTTCTTTTTTTAACATAATCTTTAACATCCATGTCATGCGTGCATCCTGTATTAAAGCCCATCTCTAGACAAAACGTAAAGCCCCCTTCACCCCCCCTCCCCCCCACCTATTCAGTGTTTCTTTTTGGATAAGTACCTTTGGAAGCACTGTAATAATCAGCTAAGGTTGACATCCATGTCCCTCCCAGGCGCCGTTTCCTGCTGCGGGAGACTGGTAATACAGCAATGCAGATGTGACCACGCCGGCTGTTCCCCCGATGGCCCTCTTTTACTGACATCATCACTGCGGTCTCTTCTGCTGGATCATGAGAGGACCTCACTAAAGGACAGCCAATAGGAAGTGCCCACATCACATATGCAGTGGTGTTGACATTTGAAGAAGGACCCAACCACTTGTAAAGAGAAGATGAGGGATGACTCAAGAACGGATTGTCATGTGACTGGATTTAGGAGAGTAAAAAAAGAATTAAGGTTTGGTCACTTTCCCAAATCATCCTCCAGGACAGTTACATGGTAGCTACTATCCTGGAGGATTACTTGAAAAGGAGCTATTGGGTAATAACTCATGATTTCCCAAGTCATCCTCCAGGACAGTATCTACCATGTGACCATCCTGGAGGATTCCTGGAAAAGTAGGTATCTGGAAATAACTCATGATTTCACTTTTATGCGAGCAAATATTTAGAGGGGGTGGGGGAAGGGTGTGTGGCGAGCTGGAGCCTGGAGGTGAACACATAAAAAAATATAACTGACCCTGAAAAACCTTTAGAACATTCTGACCCCCTATATGTCTTGCTTCCTCGGGGTGGACAATATAGAAGTTACAGCACCGAGAAAGCGTCCATAATTTATCCAAATGGAAATCTAGAAGATGGCACCTCATCCGATTGTTCAGAAGGACTGCCTCTTACCCTGAACTTCCATCCATCATCTCTCACTGCAGATCTATCATCTGATCCCTGTACATATGGGGGTGTTATTTTGATTGCCCTCCTCCTGTCCCCTATTACACAGCCTATAGGAGGGGGTGGAAGGTTTCTTTGTTCTGATTGCGGGAAATGTTTCACCAAGAGAGGCAAACTGACCTCCCACCAGAAAAGACACGCGGTGGAGAAGCCATATCCATGTTCCGAGTGCAGCAAATCTTTTTCCCAGAAAGTGGCGCTTATCAAACACGAAAGGGTGCACACGGGGGAGAAACCATTTTCATGTTCGGAATGCGGCAAACCTTTTCTCATCGGTCGGCTCTTATGGTGGCACGAGCGTGTCCCCCACACGGGGGTGAAGCCATATTCCTGCTCGGAATGTGGCAAATCTTTTTCCTTGAGGGAAAGCCTCACTTCCCACAAAAGAACTCACACTCGAGAGAAGCCATTTTCATGTACTGAATGTGGGAAACGTTTCTCTCGGAAGAAACTGCTGACCAGACACCAGAGGACCCACACAGGGGTGAAGCCCTACACCTGCTCGGAGTGTGGAAAATGTTCTATCGACCGATCAGGCCTTGAACTCACAGAAGCGACCGCCGTACTCTTGTTCCGAGTGCAGAAAAGGCTTTAAGAGTAAATCAAATTTGGGCCAGCACAAGAGAGTCCGTACAGGGGATCAACCATATATATGTTTTAGGTGTGGGAAACGGTTTCCGTGGAAATCCTCCCTCTTGTCACATCTTAGTTCCCAGTGCTCCCAAGTGTACGGGCACATGGATGTCTTCACTTCCTCTCCATCACAGACATTGATAAAACAAGAAATAAACTGAAACAAAATGTAAAGGTATTCGGAGTAGCATTCAAGCTAACTGCATAAGAAGTGCATCGTGGTTATAATATCTGGTGGGATCAGGGAGACCGTTTGCTCTGCAGTTGATGATTAGATCTCTTGAGGTATCTTCAGCATCCTTTGCTGTGTTGACCAAATATGAGCTACAATATACAGTATGACTAAAAGTTTTGAGCCTTCGCAGCTATATAAGCTTGTTGGACATCCCATCCCTGAATAATGGGCATTAATATAGAGTTGGCCACCCCATTGTGGCTCCACTCTTCTGATGAAGGCTTTCCATACAATTTTAGAGTTTGCCTGCGGGAATTTGTGCCCATTCAGCCCCCAAAAAAACCATTAGGTTGTGTATTGATGTTGGACCCTGGCTTAGAGTCTCCGTTCTTATTCATCCCAAAAGGTGTTCTATAGGGTTACACGTCGGGGGGTGACAGTGTTACTATCATTTGTGTAAGCTCAGCACAGATTTACATTTGTACATTAGAAGCTCAGATGCCATGAGTCGTTTTCTTTTGAAGGAACGATTCATTGCACTACTTTACCTTTAGGGGCTTCGGGGGAAATATTGGGGATCTAAACAGACCCCTGATATTTCCCTTTTAAAATAGAAAAAGAGATTGAGGACACAGAGTCCTCTATCTCTTTTTCTGCAGACACTGTTATCGATGAACAGGAATCCTCTATACTGAGTGTTCCTGATCATTCATAACATGAGGACAGAGTGTGTTTACTATAACTACAACTATGAATGAACAGGAAGTGATGTAGATGTGATGTAGATCACTTCCCATTCATTCATAATTGAGGATATAGTAACCATACTCTGTCCTGAATTATCTACAAACACTCAGCGATCACTGATCACGGACTGCTTGTACCCGCTCTCCATCCTGACAGCTGTCACAGGAGGCTGAGCTCTCCTCCCACACCGCCCCACTCAGCCTCCTGTGACAGTGCGGGCTGTCTCCGCCCTCTAAGGTTGCCATCTTTTCTTCAAGCGAAACCCGAACACACTCTAGCGATGCGTGGACATTTTTTAGGGAGAATGAGCCGTGGGTTATTCATATGTAAATAGCACCACCCATTTATATGTAAATATCACAGTTGAGACTATTTTCAGTGAGGGGCCAGTAGCCCCTATCTTAATTTTGGTTGCCCCTGTCTGCCTGACATCTTGTGTCCGGGTTTCTGCTGCCATGAAACCCGAACACAGCATTCAAAACTGGGACTGTCCGGGTGAATCCTGGACAGGTGGCAACCCTACCGTCCACACACCGCTCTGCCGGACTGTGACAAGAAGCTGAGCGATGTGGGAGGAGAGACGCCGGCTGCTCACAGCGCTCGGCCGACTGTCACACTTTCTCTCCTTCCCCGTTGGGACACAGAGCAGCGCCCAGCGGGTCCGGGTGAATCCTGGACAGGTGGCAACCCTACCGTCCACACACCGCTCTGCCGGACTGTGACAAGAAGCTGAGCGATGTGGGAGGAGAGACGCCGGCCGCGCACAGCGCTCGGCCGGCTGTCACACTTTCTCTCCTCCCCGTTGGGACACAGAGCAGCGCCCAGCGGGGAGGAAAGAAACTAGGGATGCACCGATGTATCGGCAGGAAAATGGCACTTTCGGCATTTAGCCAAAAGTGCAATTTTCGGCCGATATGTTTCGGCGGCCGATATATCGGTGCAACCCTAGTAACACCGTCACCACCCGATGTGTAAAGAGACTGCCACGTCTACACTGTACAAGCCACACAGTACAGAATCAGAAATGAAATAATTCAATGAGAAAACACCCCCAATTCTAACATTTTGGTTCCCTTCTCTTTTCAGCAGAATTTAATGACGTCCAACACGGACCAATCAGAGGAGTTGAGAGAAGAAGGTTGTTCACAGGCAGGAATATAGCTTACCAAATGGATACATTCAGCATTTTAGTGCTAAGCCCTCTTGAACAGAGCTACGGACCTGCAGCCATTTCTTGCAACCGATGGAATCAGTTCTTTTTCTATAAGAAAAACACCAAATAAAGTTGCGTCCACACCAGGTCCTCGCTCAGGGGCCACTGCTTTCCAAAATAAAGACTTGATGTTCTGCCACACGGATGATGGAACGACGTTCTGTCAACAGAAAGAAAAAGGTGAGTTTTTGTTGGTAACTGTGCACAATGTTATGTCTGTATTGCACAAAACCTGCATGTCAGCACCAAATCTGTATCCCAACTGTGAAGCATGGTGGAGGCAATATAATGGCACCACTTTGCTTTGGTGCCTAAGGCCTGGACAGCTTGCTTACTGGTGGACAAATTAAATGCTAATTGGTAGCACATTTCTTACATTCTAAACCAAAGTATGGCTTCCCCCACATTTCCTCTTTTATGGGGGTCAGTTAATTAAAGAGACACTAACACCACCTTGTACATGCAGGACAAAGTGGCTCCCGCCTCGACCCCTTATACTCATCTTTCCTGTGCTCCTTTCACTGTGGCAGCCGACAACGAAATCACTTAACGATTGACCTAACGATTGGCTGCTCGGCTCCAGCACTGCCCTAGGGTACGGAGTTACATGCTTGCCCATACCTGGAAGTGCTGGGTGATGTCACCGCCTACAACAGAGGAGGAAGCAGCAGGGGAGCGCTGATAAGGTGAGTATGGAAAGGGGGAAAGGGGGGAACTTTGCAAACTGTCACTTGCCTACTTAAAAGAGAACTATGAGGTAAGTGTTTTTCCCCATAGTTCTCTTTAGGGTAATGGGAGGACATAAACTAACCTCCTCCTGTGACCCAAAGCTCAGTATATAGTGAGCTATTGCCCGCATTATCCTGAGAGCAACGCAGCCGGGACGGATCCTGACAATACTGTCTGGATCCACCCAGCTGTGTGACCAGACATGGTGTGTAACCAGTATGAGGGAACTCGAGAGACCTGCACAGAGCCCTGACCTCAACCTTACCAAATAACTTTGGCTGATTGTGAGCCAAGTCTTCTCATCCAACATCGGTACCTGACCTCAGAAACTGGACACATTCCCACAGACACTCTCCGAAACCCAGTGGAAAGCCTTCCCGGTACTGTGGAGGCTCTTAGAGAGGGTCACAGCCATATTAATGGCTATGGTTAGAGCACACAATAGCCAGCAGTGGGAATTCCTCTATTAATGCTGTTTAGTGTGAATGGCGGAATCTAATATTTCTTTCCATAATAATCTATGTGCCGTAGGAGACTTGTGTGGAAAAAAAGGTCCAAAGCTAGTCGTCAGTTTTTTGGGAGCATCATGGGAATAGTCCTATTCCCTTACTCAACATAGGAAGAGTTGAACAAAAATCAGCTTTGGGTTTGTTTCTTTGCACAGGAACCTACCAGGGGAGTTATCTCTAAATGTTTTTTGACACAGGAGGGGAAGGAATAATATTTTAACAAGGAGAATCCGGGAATTCTTTTGCATTGAGTGCTTATTCCTCACCTGTGCTGATCTCTGGAGACGTTTCTTCCTCCTCACACGGCCCATAACTCCTCACATAAAGCTCTTCTGCTTCTTCTTTAACTCTCACAAGTTCTTCTTCCTCAGCTTTGACGCCTCTCTCAGTGTCCCTGGTGTCTGTGATTAACAAGAAGAGTGAAGCCCCTTGTACTGAGATGCATGAGAGACCCCAGAGAGTGTATGTGAAGGGAGACTGGTCACGTCTCTTGGCTGGCATGACGTGAGGAAGGGAGCCGGAGTCTAATAGAGGCTGATGGCTCCTGACTCCCCCCACTAGACACATTCCGTCCCCTTATTACTGTCTACTGACAGAGGAGGGGGGAGAAGAAGAGATTGTTGTAGTGACTGAACAAGGAGAATCTGGGACTCTTTTCTGGATTTAGTGTTTATTCCTCACCTGTGCCGATCTCTGGTGGGGTTTCTTCCTCCTTACACAGGTCATCACCCATCACATATGGTTCTTTTGCTTCTTCTTTCACTTCAGCTTTAGCAGTACTTTTTTTACCCTAAAACAAACAAAAATGTTTTCACTCTACTGGACCCAGTAAGTAAATTTGCACCAGATATTTTATTCAATATAAACTAATCACCATATAGGAGGAGCCAAAACAGATTTGGAAATGCATGATCTCCAACTTGGACATGTTCAGACCTCCAGCTGAATATCTCGGAGATGGAACACAAGACATGTTTGTAGTTGGGTTACATTTCTGCATAGGTCATGGCCTAGAGTGGCACCCAGTGGCTCATCAAATTGCTGACTGGCAGCAACACATTCCTAAGATTCCTGCTTATATTAAAAGTACCAAACTGATCCCTGGCCCACCAGTGCCATCCAGCTGGGTCCTTATCATTGCATTGGTGGCCTAATGTCTAGTTTACTGAATCTGAATTCTTTGGGTTCACACACAGTACACCAACACCTAACAGAACAGAGGAAAAGTTTACTTTTCAAGGGGTCAAGTCAAGGTGCACTAAAGTGGGGTGGCCAGACTGTCTCTATCAAGCCCTCCCCGGCCCCGGCAGGCCATGTGGGGTCATGGTAGATAGATTCTGTTACAGTGATACTAAGGATAGCCATTTGAATGGTGATGGTTACCAATTGGCAGTTTATAATTTTTGTGCCAAGGTAATCATTGGCAGAGAAATCTCAAGAGCCTATCCAGCTGTAATAAATGCTTTATTATGAGGACCACGGGAAAACAAGACAAGAACGAAAATGGACAACGGTTATTCCTGAATATATATGTAGATATATATTCCTCATGCTCACAGGAATCGGTCGCACGTACAGGGCCGTACCAAGCAGCTCCCGGGAAGGACAGGTGCTGCGTGTGATTAGTATGCAGCCCCCATCCTTCTCTATGGGAGTATGCGGCTGTACGCCCCCCCTACGACCACCTCAAGTGCAGGTCCGTAGGGGTGCGTGTTTCCTCGCTCGGACGCAGACAGGATCCATCCTGTCAGTGTACGAGTATGCTCACCCGCACACATACGGACGTGCAGGGCGTGTGAGCGTAGGCCGCATAGTCCCATAGAGAAGGACGGGGGCTGCGTAGTAATCACACGCAGACCCTGTCCTTCCTGGGAGCTGCTTGTGTGAATGAGGCCTAAAGTATCTCAATTGGATGAGTTAGGAAATCTGAGGCTGATTTGGTTTTATTCTGTTTCAGTCTTAACCAATTCTTTATTTTACCAGAGCATTCCATCTACCTGATCATCGTGAGGGACCTGGAGATGTTCCTGTGTGGAATCCTGCCAGGGGAGAGGACTGGGACATCTCTCTGGTGTATTCCAAATACCGGGTGCACCTGAAGGACATGAAATGATCATACAAGTGTAACAGTCTGTTTTAGAACACTGCATTCCGAGCTGAGAAGATTCATTCATACAGAAGCAGGTAACCACAGGTAAGACCTCATCCTCCCAAAGCAACCCAGGTGGATCTTTTGCAAAGTTTCAACAACCCGTAGGATGTGTACTTACCCTAACTCACGCCACATTCCCACCCTTCAATCTCTTGTCCCCTTAGATTTGACTTAAAAGAGAATATAAGTGTTGTTGACATAGTTAGGACATGGACAAGAACTTGAGCGCTCTAGTGTGAAAAGAAGTGCTTTCAGAGTAAAACATTTCCCACATGCAGAACATGAAAATGGCTTCTAGCTCTTGTGAAAATTGTATGCGTGATGAAAAGGTATTAAATATCTCCCTCATTCAGAGTATGAATATAGCGTCACCCCGTGTACATTCTCTAAAGGTAAAGTGAGTTCTTTGGGAAAAACATCTCACGACTTCAGGAACATAAATATGGCTTCAGCCCATGCCAGTTTTCTGATGGTAAGGTGAGCTCTCTATGTAAAACATTTCACACCTTCAGAACCTGAGTATGGCTTCACCCCAGTGTGAGTCCCCTGATGGTAAGGTGAGCTCTCTATGTAAAACATTTCACACCTTCAGAACCTGAGTATGGCTTCACCCCAGTGTGAGTCCCCTGATGGTAAGGTGAGCTCTCTATGTAAAACATTTCACACCTTCAGAACCTGAGTATGGCTTCACCCCAGTGTGAGTCCCCTGATGGTAAGGCAGGCTCTCTCTATAAAACATTTTACACATTCAGAACATGAATATGGCTTCACCCTAATGTGAGTTTCCCCGATGGTAAGGTGGGCTCTCCATGTAAAACATTTCACACTTTCAAAACATGAATATGACTTCACTCCATCATGACCTCCCTAGTGGTATGGGGAGCTATAAAACATCTCACACCTTCAGAGCATGAATATGGCTTCACCCCAGTGTGAGTCCCCTGGTGGTAAGGTGAGCTCTCTGTAAAACATCTCACACCTTCAGAACATGAATATGGCTTCACCCCAGTGTGAGTTCCCTGGTGGTAAGGTGAGAGCTCTCTCTATAAAACAGCTCCCATCTTCAGAATATGATTATGACTTCACTCCAGGACGACTTTCCTAATGGTAAGGTGAGCTCTCTGGATAAAATGCTACCTTTTTAAGAACATGTTTATGGCTTTATCCCAAGTAAGTTCCCTGATGGTCAGGTGGGGTCTATATATAAAACATCTCCCACTTTCAAAAAATGAATATGGCTTCACCCCAGAGTGAGTTCCTTGGGGGTACGGTGAGCTTGCCGGGTAAAACATCTTCCAGTGTTAGAACATGAAAATGACTCTACCCAATTAAGGTTCTCTGATGGTTAGGTTAGAGCTCTCTATGTAAACATCTCCCACCTTCAGAACATGAATATGGCTTCACCCCAAAGTAAGTTCCCTGGTGGTAAGGTGAGCTCTCTGGGTAAAATGCTACCATTTTAAGAACATAATTATGACTGAACCCCATTTGAGTTCCCTAATGGTAAGGCAAGCTCTCTGAGTAAAATATTCCCCACCTTAGGACCACAAATATATCTTCACCCCAGTAATAGTCCTCTGATGGGCAAGGTGGGCCTTCTGGGTATAACACATTAAGTACATAAAAATGGCTCCTCACCTGTATGAACCTTTTCATGCCTTTTAAGGTTCGACTTCCGGGAAAAATATTTACCACATTCAGAACAAGAAAATGGCTTCTCCCCCGTATGAGTTCTCTGGTGTGCAGCAAGATTAGAGCTTCCAACAAAAGTCTTCCCACATTCCAAGCAAGAATAAGGTTTCTCTCCTGTATGAATCCTCTCGTGGTTGATAAGTGACCACTTCCAAGGAAACGCATCGCCGCACTGGGAACAGGAAAACGGCCTCTCTGCGGTGTGAGTTCTCTGGTGCTTAACAAGGGTTGACTTTCCAGTAAAACACTTCCCACACTCAGGGCAGGCAAACGGCTTCTCCCCGGTGTGAACTTTTTTATGTGCAATAAGAGATGATTTCTGGGAAAAATGTTCCCCACATTCCGAACATGAAAAAGGTTTCTCCCCCGTGTGAGTCATCTGATGGGAGGTGAGATATCTTCTTTGAGAAAAACATTTCCCGCATTCCGAACATGAATAAGGTTTCTCTCCCGTGTGAATCCTCTGATGAAGGTAAAAATGTCCACTCTGGGAGAACCGTTTCCCGCACTCGGAACATTCGAAAGGCTTCTCCCCGGTGTGAGTTCTTTGGTGTTTAGCGAGCTGCTTTTTCTGACAGAAACGCTTCCCGCATTCCAAACATAAAAAAGGCTTTTCAGCTAAGTGAGTCCTCTGGTGTATAGAGAGTTGATGTTTCTGAGGAAACCGCTTCCCGCACTCCTGACATAAAAAAGGCTTCACAGCTGAGTGAGTCCTCTGGTGCCTAGTGAGGATATGTTTATGGGAAAAACTTTTCCCACATTCTGAACACAGAAAAAGCTTCTCGGCTGAGGAAGTCCTCTGGTGCCTAGTGAGTAGATCTTTTTGAGAACCTTCCCCACATTCAGAAGTTGAAGAAGGCTTTTCTCCTCCGTGACCTTTCTGGTGGGAAATGAGTTGTGCTCTCTGGTCAAAAGATTCACCACATTCAGAACATGAGAAGGTTTCAGGTCCTGTATGACAGATGACGGTATACGAGTGACCACCAGAACTGTCCCGATGTGTAGGAGGACCATATGAGAGATCCTCACTTTGACGTCTTGAATTTGAAGGAACTTGTGAAGAATCTGGTGTGATGTTGTCATCTTCTGGTTCACCATCTGAAGAGAGAAGAATGAAATTCCAGTTGTGTCACCCAAGAACTCTGGTCGTCTTATACAGCAGTATACTGTCCTAAAGTGGGAAGCTGATGAAATGACTAAATGCAAGAAGATTTAGGAGTAAGTTCTCCAGCGGCCCACTATTGACCACTACTAGAGTCACCATTTATATATGCCTTTTTGTGAAAGAGTCCGAGCTCAGCCATGATTGAGTCACCAAAGGATTGAGCAGCCGTGAGAAGCAATCTAAACGTAGGTGGCTCGTTTTCAAAAGGTTCATACGTGCAAACTACAGGAACCAGATTTCACATTGACCCTCCCCCTTCTAAATCTAAGACAGCTTCACTGACCTTCAAAAATTCCAACCTTTCTTGGTCACCTCAAAAAGTACTTTTAGTCTGCAGATGTTCCTAAGGAATGCTCAGCTGGAGAGAAAGTCTCTTATACAAGGAACAATCCAAGAAGCTTGGTACAAACTTCTCACTCCCTGCTATGAAGAGGTAGGGAGCTCTAAGGCATGAGTTTTTAACCAGATAACTGCTGGGGCTGAGCTTAAAACAGAGGACCCCCTCTATGAAATCTGATGGCCCGATACAGGTAAAAGCATAAAACCAGCCAAAACTTTCCTTCTGGATAGTGAGTATTTATTCCTCACCTGTGCTGATCTCTGGAGTTTCCTCCACTTTGATTCTCACATATCCTTCGACCTCCTCTTCATCATTAAGGTTTATCTGAGTGTCTCTGAGATCTGTGAATAAAGATGAGAGTGAAGCCCCCAGAGATGTATGAGAGACCCCAGAGAGAGTGTGTGTGTGGGGGGGGAGGTGACTGGTCACGTCTCTTGGCTGGTAACACACAATGACATGATGTGAGGAGGAGAGCCGGAGTCTAATAGAGGCTGATGGCTCCTGACTCTCCCCACTAGACACATTCCGTCCCCCCATTACTGTCTACTGACAGAGGAGGGGGGAGAAGAAGAGATTGTTGTAGTGACTGAACAAGGATAATCTGGGACTCTTCTCTGTATTTAGTGTTTATTCCTCACCTGTGCTGATCTCTGGAGTTTCCTCCACTTTGATTCTCACATATCCTTCGACCTCCTCATCATCATTAAGGTTTATCTGAGTGTCTCCGCGGTCTGTGAATAGAGATGAGAGTGAAGCCCCCTGTACTGAGATGTATGGGAGACCCCAGAGAGTGTGTGTGGGGGAGACTGGTCACGTCTCTTGGCTGGTAACACACAATGACATGATGTGAGGAGGAGAGCCGGAGTCTAATAGAGGCTGATGGCTCCTGACTCCCCCCACTAGACACATTCCGTCCCCCCATTACTGTCTACTGACAGAGGAGGGGGGAGAAGAAGAGATTGTTGCAGTGACTGAACAAGGAGAATATGGGACTCTTCTCTGGATTTAGTGTGTATTACTCACCTAAGCCGATCTCTTTGGGGCGTTCGTCCTCCTTACACGGCTCTTTGCCCGTCACATGTGGCTCGTCACCCCCCACATACAGTTCTTCTGATTCCTTTTCAGTTTTTACTTTTAAACTTTTATACTGAACAACAGAAAAAAATACAAATAATAAACTTTATCAATTAGCAGTCGTGGTGTTTGTACAAAAGTATTCTTATGTCCTGGGAGTTATCTGATCAGCTAACGATTGACAGTAGGTTGTCTCAGCTCATATGGGGGGCAAATGCAGGTCGAATAAATTGGTACCCCGGGCAAACAGCTAAATACACATCTGTTAGCCTGGAGTTTCCTATAAAGTGTATGTCGGTGGGACAACCCAAATTCTCTTGGTCTGGTCTATATTGCTAATATTAATACAATGTACTTCCCTGCATGATGTTTATGTTTCAAATGTTACCAATATGGCTGCTACCAAGCTTCCTCAGATCCCTGAACTTCAAGTTCATTGACTTATTTTGGTCCCACAAACAACAAAACCTTAGGATCGCATAGGGAGTACTGACCAGAACCAAAGCCAATGGGGCGCATGGAGCTCCCAGATGTTAGAAAATATTATGAAGTGTCACTACTTCATAAAACTTTGGATTGGATCTATTGGAAGTTTCAAAAACAGCTGAGGGAGCTCTGGCAAACCAAAAACTGGCCCACAGAAGCTTGGCCCCCTCTGTTGCCCCTATAAAAAACATTGCACTGGGATTTGGTTTGGGCATGTTTCACAGATGGCAACTAAACGACCCCCTCGTACCCATCATGGACAATTCCCAATTCACCCCAGGTTCAGAAGAGTGGGCTTTCTAATTCTGGCTTGGGAATACAGCATGTGACAAGGGGCGACAAAGTACTTGACCCAGCAGAAGGAGGAAACAGATGGATGGACCCTTGGAAATGGTTCAAATTTAGTCATTTTGTTAAGAGCCATATAAAACCCTGACGGAGCAAGTCTTCTTACCTGTGGCCAGTCCCTCGTCTGGCATATCAATGTTGTACAAAGTGCTCCTAGTGGCTGCATATGCAAGTCCCTGAACTACTTGGCCAACTAGTACAGGATAGATCCCATACTCTCTCTGATGTGTACCAAGCTAAACTTATTCTATCAACTCAGCCTGTGCTGCTTCTCCTTTCACCAAATCCAGTCACAAGCTGGGGGCACGTCCGGGATGGCCGGAGCTCTATAACAGTGAGTTGAATGATGCTGGCCATCAGACTGGGGACATCTAGAGGCAGTAAAAAGTACTGCGGGGGGAAATCTCTGGATTTGTTTCCCCACTCTGGACAAGAATATGGCTTCTTCCTGTGTGAGTCTTCTGATGGGAGATTAGAGAAAAAGATTGTCCTCATTCCAAAGCTGGTCTCGTTATTTCATTTTTTTATTGGTTTATTTTTGGATGGGGTTCTGCTTTCATGTAGTTTTGGATAGGCTCAGAAAAGGTTATAATCCATCAGGTTTGTACTGCTACCTAAGGCTCTGTAGGAGAGATTTCCCCCCATTGCCCACATTCCCCCCATTGCAACTCCCTCCTCATTGGCCTACCTCTACTCAGGCTCCTCCTCCATTCAGTCTAAATCATCAAAAGGCCTCCTGCTTTCCAGCTCCCTTGTCAACTCCTCCCATACTCGCCTCCGGGACTTCTCTGGAGTCTCTCCCATCCTCTGGAACTCTTTAATCCAACCTGTCCATCTATCTCCCACCTTAACTGCCTTTAGGCGATCCCTAAAGACTCATCTCTTCAGGAAGCCTATCCCACCTCAACCTACCCACGCAACCATCACGTTCTTCATCCCCACACAGCTACCTCCTCATGTATCACTGGCCCCTCCCTTTTAGATTGTAAGCCCTCAGGGGCAGGGCCCTCCTTACCATCTTGTCTTGAATTGTATTGTGACTGTAATGTCTTCCTTATATTGTAAAGCGCTGTGCAAACTGTTGGCGCTATATAAATGCTGTATAATAGTAATAATAATAATTACTGTCACGGTGACAACGGTTTTACCTGACAGGAAGTCAGGGAGATCTTTACCAATTCACATCTTTAACAGCAGCACAGACAGACGTAAAAGCTTGTGATAGTAGAGCAGGGGAAGGCTAGAACCCCCGACAACCTTTTATTGCTGTAAATGTCCCGGCTGTAGACTTTCCCTCACATTCAATGTGCTGTAACTGTTGTCACCATGGCAGAGAAAGAGGAAAATTCTCTCTGATGGAGCTCCGGTTACTGGTAAAAAAGGGGTTTTGATCTTTCCTGACTCTACCTAATACTAAAAAAGGTTTAGAAAAGGGTCATCACGCACTAAAGGAAACAATACTACACGAGCATAGCACAGGCCGAAGACTAAGGTGGGTCTTCACAAATTCTCTCTCCTGTATTATTTGTTCCACCTACCAGATCATCCTTTTGGGCCCGATGATCGTCTCGTGTACTATTCGGAGAAGTGAGAGGACCGGGACCTCTCCGAGTGCTGTCCATATCTGTAGAAAACGGCTTCCTGATCGCCGTATGGACCCTCTTATGTCTGATAAAAGAAGACTTCCAGGTAAATTTTTCTCCGCACTGGGAACAGGTGAACGGCTTCTCCCCAGAGTGAATTATCTTGTGTATAACAAGCTTGGACCTTGCGCCGAAGCACTTTCCACATTCGGGGCATGAAAAGGGCTTCTCCTCTTTATGAATATTTAGGTGCGTGTTAAGATTGGACTTCCGGGAAAAGCGCTCCCCACATTCCGAACAGGAAAACGGCTTCAGGCCAGAGTGAGTTTTCTGATGCGCAACAAGCGTCGATCTTTCGATAAAACGTTTCCCGCACTCAGCACATAAATACGGCTTCTCCCCTGTGTGAGTCTTCTGGTGGGATATTAGAGTTCCCCGCCGGGAAAAACATTTCCCGCATTCTGAGCACGCATAAGGTTTCTCTCCTGTGTGAGTCATCTGATGTAGTAAAAGATGTCCACTTTGGGAAAAACGTTTCCCGCACGCTGAACATAAAAAAGGCTTCTCGTCCGAGTGAATCGTCTGGTGTCTAGTGAGTTGGTTCTTCTGAGGAAAACATTTCCCGCATTCGGAACATGTATATGGCTTCTCCCCTTTGTGGCCTTGCCGGTGGGAGAAAAATTTGTCTCTCTGGGCAAAGCATTCGCCACATTTAGAACACTTGAAGCTTTCACCCCTGTCACCAGCTGTATGATGTGTGATGGGAAGGAGGTTTGTAGTAATGTTGTTGTCTTGTGAAGACTCAGATTTTATGTCATTTTCTTCCATGTCACAATCTGGAGAGACATTGCATTGACCCTTCAGGTTATTTCGATTCTGTTGTCCACCTGGAGAAAATATGCCATGAAAGAAAATAAGAATTCATAGGCAAGACTTCTACTCTCAAGTCTCATTGGATGGCGGTAAATCGTTTTTAAAAGCAGCCAATGATTGGACTTCGCCTTCTTACAACCTGAATTATCTGCTTCACAGTATTGGAATCACCATTCCGAAACGATATGGCCCAATGTTTGTAGACACCTGCCCATCACACCTATGTGAGCTTGTTGGACGTCCAATCCAAAACCATGGACATAAACATTGAGCTGGCCCCCCTGCGAGGCTACAAAAGCCTCCACTTTTCTAGGAAGCATTTCCACAAGACTGTGAAGAGCAGGGGTCTCAAACCTCCGGCCCTCCAGCTGTGGTGGAACTACAAATCCCATGAGGCATTGCAAGATTCTGACAGCCACAGACATGACTCCCGGAGAGAGATGCATCATGGGATTTGTAGTTTCACCACTGCTGGAGGGCCGGAGGTTTGAGACCCCTGGTGAAGAGTGTCTGTGGGAATTTGTGTGCAAAAGAGCATTTATGAGGTAAGGTCCTTATTACCCACCTGTGTTGACCTCTGTAGGTATTCCCTCCTCTTTAATCCTCACATGTTCTACTTCGTCAGATTTAACGTCTCTCTGAGTGTCTCCGGGGTCTGTGAATAAAGATGAGAGTGAAGCCCCCTGTACTGAGATGTATGAGAGACCGCAGAGAGTGTGTGTGGGGGGGCTGCTAACACACAATGACATGATGTGAGGAGGAGAGCCGGGGTCTAATAGAGGCTGATGGCTCCTGACTCCCCCCACTAGACATATTCCGTCCCCCCATTACTGTCTACTGACATAGGAGGGGGGAGAAGAAGAGATTGTTGTAGTGACTGAACAAGGAGAATCTGGGAGTCTTCTCTGGATTTAGTGTTTATTCCTCACCTGTGCTGATCCCTGGAGAACTTTCCTCCTCCTTACACGGTACATCCACCCACATGTATGGCACTTCAGCTTCCTCTTTTACTTCATTTTTAACCTTGAATAACAAAAATAATTCAAAAAGACAAATTATATTATGACATTACACAAAGCAATATTTCTGCTTGATCTCATAAAACCCTGTACAGAATACATTGCAGAATGTCACTGTAGTATTTAACAAGAACATCACTTCACTCTACCTGATCCTCCTGAGGGATCTCATGATGTTCTTGTGTGGAATCTCGAGAATACAGAGGACGGGCCTGAGGGATCTTATGATGTTCCTGTGTGGAGTCCCGGGAATACAGAGGACGGGTCTGAGGGATCTGGTTATGTTCCTGTGTGGAGTCCCGGGAATACAGAGGACGGGCCTGAGGGATCTCCTGATGTTCCTGTGTGGAATCCCGGGAATACTGAGGACGGGCCTGAGGGATCTCCTGATTTTCCTGTGTGGAATCCCGGTAATACAGAGGACGGGCCTGAGGGATCTCATGATGTTCCTGTGTGGAATCCCGGGAATACAGAGGACGGGCCTGAGGGATCTCCTGATGTTCCTGTGTGGAATCCCGGGCATACAGAGGATGGGCCTGAGGGATCTCATGATGTTCCTGTGTGGAGTCCCGGGAATACAGAGGACGGGCCTGAGGGATCTCCTGATGTTCCTGTGTGGAGTCCCGGGAATTCAGAGGATGGGCCTGAGGGATCTCATGATGTTCCTGTGTGGAATCCTGGGAATACAGAGGACGGGCCTGAGGGATCTCCTGATGTTCCTGTGTGGAGTTCCAGGAATACAGAGGAAGGGGACATCTCTCTGGGGTATTACTGTTCCTGGATCCATCTGTAGGAAACACACACACTGACTGAATACATTGTTTCTATGTCTTTATATCAGAGGATGTGTGTATCTAGGGGGATCCTCAATACTCAAGACATGAAAGTCTCCTCTTACCCGTTGATGTGAGTGGCGGCCGGTTCTCCATCATGACGCCCTTCTACAGATCCAGGTGTACGTCTAAATCTTCAGCTTTATGGCTGAATCTATATGTAGAATACAGGCTGATATACAATAAATAAATTAAAACATAGAGAAATATCTCAAAAATACAGCCAAGGAACAATATGTACTAACAATACACGGTTACAGTAGTTGAGGTTGAATAAGGACACAGGTCCATCAGGTTCAACCTATATAGTGTGCTATCAATTCCCATAACTCCCATATATTATACATACTACCAACTTTAGGCTTTTTATCAGATAATCCTTTATTTACGTTCCTTACAGTGGTGAACTTCCGGCACTTCAGAGGTTAACTGACTCACCTGTAACAGTGAAAGCCCGGCGCCATTTTGTAAACAGGCGAGAGGGGCGGAAGGGGTAGGGTGAGCAGTGCCGAGCCTCAACTGTTACAGACGGGTCCGTTAGCCAATACAGCGGAGGTTCGCCGCTGTCAGAAGAATCCGGCATCACTGAAGGGAGGACTTTTACACTAACCGGTGCCAGCAGAACGTAGGATCCACTTCACTGGAAGTAATCTGTGTCCCCGGTGCAGTTCTAAGGAAAGCGGACCTTTACCCCTTTCACTAAGAGTTCCATCAGAAGGCTGATATGAAATCATTTTACATTCGTTAGTAAAACAAATATTTTTGGCTTTTACTTACAATATCTGTTTCTCCACTTCCTGCTTGGGTGACACACTGGTGATGTAGTCCTGGCCTCACAGATGAATCCTGGCTACATCACCAGTGCCCTCCTGGGAAATCTCACGGAATCCCGGGGGGGAAAGGCATTTTTTCCCACCTCTGATGATGTCCAATGTACTAGGAGGAAGACCTAGAGTTCCAGGAAGTATAGGGAGATGGACTCCCTAGTGAAAATGGCCACCGTGATAAGAATGGGGAGGAAAAGACAAATAGGATATACAAATAGGAAGCCGGTGTTCTGTCGAAACGGCCAACTCGTCGAGATCTCCAACTCGTAACGTCACATTCGTTGGAGATTTCGACGAGATGGCGCTAGTGTCTCGTCGCCTCGCCCAATAGCCTTAAATGCGCCCCCCGCAATCCTCATTGAGTTCTCCAACTGGCATCAGTACTTGTGCCATCGGATGCCCGCGCAGGCGCACTAATGCAAATTAGAGAACGTGATACTGCTCATAGGTGGCCGCGCAGACGGGAGTTGGAGATCTCGACAAGTTGGACATCTCGATAGAACACCGACAATTATCTAGAAGTGTCTGTTTGAAGATTGCCATTACTACACATCTATAAAGGTGCCTTTGTTGTCATTTTCAAGATGGGGTGAAGTTCCCCTTTAGTGATAGAACGGAGTGTTGGGTGTTGGGGTTAGGAGGAAGTGACATGTAAAGGGTTAACTGGTATTCAGGTTCTGTTTTAGGAAGGGGAAGTGTTAGGGTCATTTGGAGTAACCTGTGATTTGGCGTAACGTTGGCACCACCAGTTGCTGATACTCACCTTCTCTTCGCCATCGTTACGTTCACCTGTAAGAAGAGGGAGCACTGTGTGAGGTTCAGGTTACGACTGACCTCTCTCTATGACCTACAAACCCGCATTCCTCATCAATGGGCATATTTCTATAGGACGCGGGTTGTGACTTTCCATAGAATACGCCCCCAGCGCCAGAAGAGCTCACCATCCAATGTTCTACACATCAGAGGACTTGCAGGAAGATGATGATTTATTGGGGTCACATGATCCCCCCATCCAGTCCATAGAGCCCCTTCTCTCCTCCTCTCAGAATAAGAATATAGTATTATTACCTCCTCTTCAGTGGGCACACACTCTCCTGCCTGGCAGCCATGACCCTACTGGAGCTCCTCAGTGTCCTCAACTGTAAGCTACAACAAAATGGCCGCCTTTTCCCTTTGCTCTTTTCATATCAGATTACATTGCACAAACAAATAATAATATTATGACTAATATTTTGTTTTTTAGTGAAATCAATTGCAACAATCTTATATTTGTTCTTGGCAAGACTACTGGAAAATGTCCGCCGATCTGCTGAAGCAAAGGAGTAGAGATTGCCCTCTAGTGTTTGCTGCTGTAGAACACCGTCCAGTGGGTGGAGCCTACTTCCTGGAGGGATGTGGAGTTCTCAGGTGTACGGAGCTGGCTGCCCCTGGTTACTATGGTGACGCACGCGCGCGCGCGCAGATTTAATATACAGGCTGATGCTAAAAGGTCGGCCATTTTCTTGTAGCTTAAGTGGGTGACCAATTCAATTAAATTTTTGTATTTTATTACTACGGTAGCAGCTGCTGGTGGCTGCCAGGCTGGAATTTGTGCGCCCAGTGAGGTAATGATGTATTTTTATTATGAGAGAAGGGGCTACCAGCACTCTCTGTGTGGTCTGGATGGGGGGATCATGTCACTTCAACAAATAATCATCTTCCTGCAAGTCCTCTAATGTGTAGGACAGAAGATGGTGAGCGCTGCAGTGGCTGGCATGATGGCGCTGGGGGCTGTATTTTTCTACGGGAGGTCTGGCGGTTAGGACATCTTTGTGACATCTTTTACATAGCGCCTAGCGACACATTTGAAACTACTTCCTAGCCTTGTCGGTTTAACACCGGGAAAATAAATAGGACACATGCTGTTTTCTAAGATTAACTTATAGATGCATGGTACATTTTATTCATTTATTTCAGGATGAGCTGTACGGAGAAGCTCGTATTCCAGGTATGGAGTGGAAGTCTATAGACGGACACTGGGATCTCTACAAGGACGTCATGATGGAGAACCGGCCGCCCCTCACATCGCCGGGTAAGAGGAGACTTTCATGTCTTGAGTATTGAGGATCCCCCTAGATACACACATCCTCTGATATAAAGACATAGAAACAATGTATTCAGTCAGTGTGTATGTTTCCTACAGATGGATCCAGGAACAGAAATACCCCAGAGAGATGTCCCTGTCCTCTGTATTCCCGGGATTCCACACAGGAACATCAGGAGATCCCTCAGGCCCGTCCTCTGTATTCCCGGGACTCCACACAGGAACATCAGGAGATCCCTCAGGCCCCTTCTCTGTACTCCCGGGATTCCACACAGGAACATCATGAGATCCCTCAGGCCCGTCCTCTGTATTCCCGGGATTCCACACAGGAACATCAGGAGATCCCTCAGGCCCGTCCTCTGTATTCCCGGGATTCCACACAGGAACATCAGGAGATCCCTCAGGAGGATCAGGTAGATGGGGTTTCTTTCTCATTTGCTAAACAACGTAAATCTGCTCTATATTAACTGAACAGAGTCCTATGTTTAAACTCAATGTACTGTTTTGTATTTAGAATGAAAACGTGATTTATGTTAAAGTTGAGGTAAAGGATGAAGAAGATGAAGAGCCTCCTGTAAAGAGTGATGAGTCATGTGAGATGGAGAAGGACATCTCTCCAGAGATTGGCACAGGTGAGGAATAAACACTAAATCCAGAAAAGAGTCCCAGATTCTCCTTGTTCAGTCACTACAACAATCTCTTCTTCTCCCCCCTCCTCTGTCAGTAGACAGTAATGGGGGGGACAGAATGTGTCTAGTGGGAGGAGTCAGGAGACTCATGCAGTGGTGTATTTAGGTTTGGGGCTGCCCTAGGCAAGACAAAACTCGGGCGCCCCCCCCCCCCCCCCACACACACACTCTCTGGGGTCTCTCATACATCTCAGGGGGCTTCACTCTCATCTTTATTCACAGACCCCGGAGACACCAGGGACACTCAGAGAGACGCCAAAGCTGAGGAAGAAGGACGTGTGAGGATCAAAGAGGAAGAAACTCCTATAGAGATCGGCACAGGTGAGGGATAAATGATGACATTTTCTTCGGCAAGCATATGTAATAAGAACATTCAAACATCCAACTTAAAATAGAGACTTCTTTAGTGGTTATGTTTGAAGGTTAAAAAATGTCAGAAGACAGTAAAGCCCTTTGCCCGTGCGGAAATGTGATACTTCTTGACCGGAACTAGTGGTAGGAACATGGGAGATCATGCATGAGGACATCAGGGTTGAATTTCCAAGGAGGAACTACACCCCCTTATCCTTTACAGTCAAGGAAGGTGCCATCTTGGCCTCCATTTGGATTGCAGTTGCCATGATTGACATTCATATTTCAGTTTTTCTTCTATTACATCCTCCAGATGGACGATACACGAGAAAAAACCCAGAAGAACATCCTACTCCAAATGGTGAATTAGAAGAAGACGTCATTTATGATTCGCCAGAAGGAAGCCCCGTTTCCCCCAACCCTTTCGAAGTACTTGACCGTGAAGGTCTACCTACTGATGCCACTCCACATGGGGAGAGTTCTCCTCATCCCCATCCTGCAATCCATCATACAGCTCACAGGGAAGGTGGAGCATTTCTGAGTTCCGAGTGCGGGGAATGTTTTGCTCAGAGAGCAGACCTCGTCTACCAACAACAAGGTCACGAAGGAGGCAGGCCCTATTCCTGTTTTGAATGCGGCAAATGCTTTCCCCAAAAACAGCAGCTCATCAGGCACCGGAGAATTCACTCAGCCGAGAAGCCATTTTCATGTTTGCAGTGCGGGAAAAGTTTTTCTCAGCGGGCGCATCTCAACTCACATCGGATAACTCACTCGGGAGAGAAGCCATTTTCATGTCCTGAATGTGGGAAGTATTTTTCTCAAAAACAGCATCTCATTAGACACCACCGGACTCACACGGGGGAGAAGCCATTTTCCTGTTCAGAATGTGGGAAATGTTTTCCAAAGAGAGACCACCTCATCTCCCATCAGTTGACTCACACGGGGGAGAAGCCGTATTTGTGTTCGGAATGTGGGAAGGGTTTTGCGCAGAGAGCAGTTCTGGCTCGGCACCATAGGACGCACACGGGAGAGAAGCCGTTTTTATGCACAGAGTGTGGGAAATGTTTCCCTCAGAGAGCCCACCTTACCTCCCATCGGATGACCCACACAGGGGAGAAGCCTTATTCGTGTTCCGAGTGCGGTAAATGTTTTACTCAAAGCTCAGTCCTAGCTAGACACCAGACAACGCACTCAGGGGCAAAGCAACTTTCTTCTGCTGAGTGTGGTGATGGATGCCAAAGCTCTTGTCCCATGTTCAATGATTCACACAGGTGATGGGACACAATTCTGGTTGAACATGTTTTTTAGAAATATGGCTGATTATGAACCAGAACACACAGGAGCTGAACCATATTTGTGTTCAAAACATGGGGAACCGTCTTGATAGAAATCCATCCGTATCAGGTTCCTGCACCAGGACGTAAATGTATGTCCGCCTCACTACCTGTAGAAAATTGCCAATTCCGGACGCTAAATCGGCTCCCCTATTTTGGTGTTTCATGGTAGCGGGCGAGCAGAATGACTCTGATATGTCATGGATTATGGCAAATTAAGAGATGACCTTCCTGAGACCTTTGACAGCTGCTAGGTAGCGAAACTACACTATATTGCCAAAAGTATTGGGCCCCTCCGAATCATTGGATTCAGGTGTTCCATCAAATGTCCTTGCTACTAAATATTCCGCAATCACCTGTTAGTGGTATTATAACAAAGTGGAAGCAACTGGGAACAACAGCAACTCAGCCAGGAAGTGGTAGGCCACGTAACATGACAGAGCGGGGTCGGCTGAAGCGCACAGTGCGCAGAAGTCGCCAACTGTCTGCAGAGTCAATAGCTACAGACCTCCAAACTTGGTGTGGCCTTCAGATTGGCACAACAACAGTGCGTAGAGAGCTTCATGGAATGGGTCTCCATGGCCGAGCAGCTGCATCCAAGCTTTACATCACTAAGTGTAATGCAAAGCGTGGGATGCCGTGGTGTAAAGCACGCCGCCACTGGACTCTAGAGAAGTGGAGACGTGTTCTCTGGAGTGACCAATCACGCTTCTCTGTCTGGCAATCCGATGGGCGTGTCTGGGTTTGGCGGTTACCAGGAGCACGGTACTTGCCTGACTGCATTGTGCCAAGTGTAATGTTTGGTGGAGGGGGATTATGGGGGTGGGGGGTTGTTTTTCAGGGGTGGGGCTTGGCCCCTTAGTTCCAGTGAAGGTAACTCTTAAGGTATCAGCGCACCAAGACATTTTGGAAAATGTTATGCTCCCAACATTGTGGGAGGAGTTTGGGGATGGCCCTTCCTGTTCCAACATGACTGCGCACCAGTGCACAAAGCAAGGTCCATAAAGACATGGATGGGGGAGTTTGGGGTGGAGGAACCGGACTGGCCTCCCCAGAGCCCTGCCCCCCCCCTACAAATGGTCCAACATTCCCATAGACACACTCCTAAACCTTGTGGACGCCTTCCCAGAAGAGTTGAAGCTGTTATAGTGGCAAAGGGCGGAGCCAACCCGATACTGAACCCTACAGACTAAGACTGGGATACCATTAAAGTTCATGTGTGTGTAAAGGCCGACGTCTCAATACTTCTGGCAATATAGTGTACTTGGAGGAGTTAAAAAAAAAAAGAAGCCATTGATTTGTAAACCAAAAAATTTATTTTAAATTACAGACCACAAGAAAGATGGTCTTCATGATCTAAAAAAATAATAATAATAATTAAAAAAACATAATACTGGTTTGGCTATGAACAACCCGGAAAAAAAAAAAAACATTGCCCTCCCTTCTCTTTACAACTAAATAAAAAAGAACTATTTACAAGATTCGGACAAAACGTTATCCATCAGCAGGGACGGCTGTTATTTGCTCCTCTCGGTCGCCCTCGCCGGGCGTGTGAAGTGGGAGCCAGGCCGGAGGCATGCTGCCCCCTTCCCCTAGGTTCAGCGTGGGGACGGCTCTCGCCCATTATAGTGACCGCCTGCCTGAGCACTGAATGGATACCCGCCATTTCCTGCGTCAAAGCACGCTGTTGCTGCACCAGTGCATTCAGGGCCCTCTCCACGGCCATATAGTGGCGCCGCTGTTGCCGCACCTGCACCTCCATCACGCGATGTGTGCGCCGGTGAGCAAGCAGCTGCTGCCTTTGCAGCTCCAGCTCTTCCCTATAGGGCTGTGGAGATGGGGAGGCAGCGGTGTGTGATGGGGGAGATTCCCCCCTCTCTGGTTTTGGAGAAAAGGCAACAGGGATAGTTGAAGTCTCTGGCGTTACAGCAGAAGGGGAGTGGACCAGCGGAGAAACAGGTTGGGGTCTTCTTGACAGGGATGGCGGCCCCGTCCATAGCAGACCTGGAGCCGGGGACATCTCTAGTTTCACAGCTTCGGAATGCAGAGGTAGCGTCTCTTCGGGGCCTACAAAACAAAGGAATAGTCCTCAGAAATGTATTTGCCATCGTTAAACAGGCCCCAAAGGCTTCAAACCCTCAAAAAAGGTATTTTAGTGTTATACTACCACCCATTGTAGACACCGACACTTAGGGTTAAGGTCTTGCCAGCCCAGTGCAAACCGAAAAAGAGGGAAGTTCTAAATATCAAATGCTTGATGCAAGTTCAGCTGATCAAATATCTAGAACAGGTAGAATTTGCTCTGAAGTTAAAATGGTGCAATTCCCCAATGCTGGCTGGTGTTGGACGCTTGGGACAGAGGCGACATCATTCCCTCGGTCATTTGACAGTGACTGGGCTTTATATTCAGCTACTAAACCTGAGCATTGTCACAGTGTAGGAGATTACATGCCCCCCCAAACCGGAATCAATGGGGACTTCTGCCGGCTGCAACGGAGGAAGAAGAGGCAGGGAAGAGATGGCAAGGCAAGTATAAGTGTATCGGGAAAGGGGGCCCCCTTTGTAAAGACATGGGGGTCTATTCACAAAGGAGCCGGCTGATCCTTCGGCTCTCTTCGGCCGCCGGAGCCCTTCGGTTCAGTGGAACCAAAGGGCTGCCGTATGGGCTAGTCACTATAGCCCGTACAGCACCCAAGCGGCTCAGCCGAGCTGAAGGCATATGCTTCGGCTCGACTGAGCCGAAGCACGGCGAACGGCCTGCCGAAGACCGGCCTTTCGCCCCTAAGATGACAGCTGGGCGGGGCCAGCCGTCATCTCACGGCTGGCTCCGCCCAGTTTTTATGTCAGATCAGCGTCCCCAAATGACCTGGGGATGCTGATCTGTCGTCATTAAACAATAACAACTGGGCGTCCTTTGTAGATAGACCTCCATGTCTTTGCAAAGAGGGCCTCCTTTCCCGATCCACTTAAACTTGCCTTGCCATCTCTTCCCTGCCCCTTCTTCCTCCAAGCCAATGTTTACTGGTGTTGTATAGCATGTCTTGTGACTGCCAAACATACCTGGTACATCTCCTATATCAGCGCACTTGTCATAGAGTGATGTCTTCAACTCATTCTGATCAAGTTCCTCATCAGCCTCTTCCTCGTGTTCAGAGTAAATAGGCTGTACACAAGCCCTGCTGGACTAGATGACCGGGGCTAGCCTGGAATGTGATCACAGAGGACTGGGTTCTGCACTGTGACGTTTCCCAGACCTTAGCCATGAAATGCCTTCTGGGTCCACCACCATGGCAAAGCCCCAGCTGTGGCCCTGCCTCTGAAGACTCACTTGGTGAGGCAGGTCAAGCTGAAGCACCAGAAGCTGCCTCACCTTTACTGGTTTCTACCGCAGTAATGATTGAGTGATGGCTTCATCCGCTAGGTGAAGTCTGCGCATGTGCGCATGCATGCTCCTTCCAGCCGTTCAATTTAGAGGAAGCGCCATTCCTCTAAGCAATCATTTGTCCAAGCCAATGTTTTGCTGGTGTTTTATAGCATGTCATGTGACTGCCAAACGTACCTGGTACATCTCCTATGTCAGCTGACTTGTCGTAGAGTGATGTCTTCAACTCCTTCTGATCGAGTTCCTCATCAGCCTCTTCCTCGTCGTGTTCAGAGTAAAAATGGACTACACTCCAAAAAAAGGACCAAAATATTACACATTTAAACATTGCGATCACAAGAGAGCATAGGCAAGAATTATCTACGGAGGGCATGTTCATGTTCCCAATCTGGATTGAGAAACAAGTAGGACACACAGGTCAGAGTAATGTTAATGAACAGGAGAAAACCTAAAGTTACACCTACCAGTGTGGTCAAAGGCTGAGAACCTTGCGTCATGTCCCCCGTTGCTTGCTTGGGGTGACCCTGCAGCTGCATCTTCTGATAGGGTGAGATTTAGAGTTTAAAAGGCGTGTTTCGGGACAATTAGCAGCCACTGTAATTTACAGTGGAACAAAACAAATCACTTGCCTGGGAGATCCAAGTCGTATTCTCCCCCAAGGCCAGAAAAAATCTCGTCTTGCAAAACGGTCATCAGCTCCCTCTCATACTCCAGAAGGACGAGCTCCTTGGAGGGTCCTCCGCCGGTCTGCAATGAAGCATTGTGATGTTCGCGATGCTTGCGCAGAATTGCCCTGCGGTGAAACAAAGCCACAGACTATTTTTTCTTAATCGTCCATTAAGTGACACGGGAATTCAGAAACGGTCGGGTTTATACTGCCACCTTCAGTAGGTTTGGACACTGGCAAATGGAAAAGATGTAAGCCGGCCCCGAATAACACCTCTACCCAGCATGCCTCAGAATGTTCCCCTAGTGTCCTTGTCCTTCAGAAGACTATTTTTTGTATCCCTTGCTTTGTGGATTTTTTTCCTTAAATCAGGAATCCTTTGCTAAACAAATGCTTATCCTGATCTCTGTATAGCAGCTATATGGATCAGTGTTGTCTCAACAATAGGCCATACACAGACCCTACTGGACTAGATGACCGGGGCTAGCCTGGAATGTGATCACAGAGGACTGGGTTCTGCACTGTGACCTTTCCCAGACCTTAGCCATGAAGTGCCTTCTGGGTCCAGAGCCATGGCAAAGCCCCAGCTGTGACTCGGCCTCTGAAGACTCGCTCAGTTAGTGAGGCAGGTCAAGCTGAAGCACCAGAAGCTGCCTCACTTTTACTGATTTCTACCGCAGTAATGATTGAGTGATGACTTCATCTGATAGGTGAAGTCTGCGCACGTGCGCATGCATGCTCTTCCCAGCCATTCAATCTAGAGGAAGCTGCTGCTCTTGAAGCGGCATTCAGGATCTTCAGGCTGGTTCCACTG